TATTGGAATTCGATTTCACAAATTTTGGTTTGTTAGGTCTTATGTGTTCTATTGGTTGAATCGAACGAAAATATCCAACTTAGGTAATGAACCCATGTGTATGTCTATTTGGGTTTTCGATTCGTTGAGTTTAATTTTACTTGTTAAGCACGGTTGCTTTAGCAGCTTGTTATCTCTAGGTGCTCTACATTTTGTCTAAAATTTTTTTTATACCTTTATATATCTTTTAGTTTCCAAAGTTTGGCAAATCGGAAATCAAACAGAACAAAATGAATGATTTTCATAGAAAAACCACACCAAATCAATAAAACATACATGGGTGATCGATCGATTGGTCATTGCGACCAAAATCGAAATCTCTTATTAATCGAACATTCTGCGTTTTTGGTTCGATTCAGTTTTAGTCAACTACCTGTATATAATTATTTGCTTCAAGTGGCTATGGTGTTTTCTATCTTTAATAATAAATAAATAAAAATCCACAATATAACTAAAACTCTAAATTACATCTTCAAAACATCTATAGGTAATCTCACTAAATATTTACCCCAAAAAGGCAAAAATCAGTCCTCGAAAAAGCAATTGGAACCACAAAGATTTATTAAAGCAAAAACTAAAAAAGTGAAGAAAAAAACAAGTTTACAATGAGAAGCAAAGAAACATTCTCTCCTACTATTAAACATCCCAACCACAAAAGTACCATGTTTAAGAAGCCCAAAAAGCTAGCTAGCAAATATTCCCAATCCTCAGTATAAGAGGGCCCACCTTTCAAAAGCTTCATTAAACCCAATATTTCTATTGATCAAATACTTAACAGCAGGATTGCAATTTAAACAATATTTTGAGTACTGCAACCCTGCAACACCTATTGATTTTAGGAGCCCAAAATTTGATTCTTTCTTTTGATGAGGTGAAAAGTAAAATGCAGAATCTTGTACTATCTCTTGATAAATGTGATTGGGTAATTAACACTAACAAGAATCCATGTCTTGCTGAAAAAATGAGCCCAGAGAAAGACATAAGTGGGAAATGTCAGGATTGATAGCATGGCGTGCATTTTCTTGAATGATAGGATATTCTTTTCTTGTTCTATTCTTAATTTGCCTTGAAAATTTCAAACAAGAAAGGATTTTACTTAGTAGTAATTGGGTTGTGTAATTTCCTTTTGACATTTATTAAGCTAAATACTAGTTGATGGTGTTTGC